AATCCCTGGACTGCCCCTGGGCCCAGACTGGGGACCGGACTGGGGCCTGGACACGGGGCCCATGCCATCGTCAGCTCCGGGTGGAGCCGACGTGTTTTTGGGGCGGGCCAAGTGGACCGAAGCGACTAAGCTGCCAGGGCCCACCGCGCTGCTCACGATGCCGCGGCAGGGATCTGCCACGCCGCTCACGGCCGCGCCGCTGGGCGCCGCTTTCCAGCCGCGGCGACGAGGGCCCTCCAGGAAGAGCAGCGGTCGCAGGATCGACCCCCCCCCCTCTGACGCGTCGGAGGGCCGGCCGCGGCGACGAGAGGCCTCCAGGCCGCGCTGCGGTGCCCGGGCGCCCCCCACCTCCGCCCCCCCGGATTCCCCGACTCCCCGAAGGACAAGCCGCGGCGACGAGGGCTCTCCAGGACGGGCACCGGCACCAGGTTCGATCGCGGCCCCTCCAGAACTGGGGCGGCCGGGCCTCGCCAGGGCCTGACCTTCACTTCCAGCGGAGCAGGCCCTGGACCCATCGGAAACGTCACTATGCGTGGCAACTCCTTGAGACACCTGATGTGACGACGCGACTGAGCTGCCGGGGTCCGTCGCGCTGCCCACGACGCTGCGGCTGAAATTTGCCGCGCTGCTCGCGGTTGCGCCGGGTTCCGCTGCGCGCGCGGTTGCGCTGGGTTCCGCTGTGCGGCCGCGGCGACGAGGGCTCTCCAGGACGAGCAGCGGTCGCTGGATCGACCCCCCCTGGCGCGTCGGAGAGCCGGCCGCTGCGACGAGAGCTCTCCAGGACGCGCGGCGGCACCAGGATTGCGGGGGCACTCGCACACACACACACACACACACACACACACACACAAACACACGCACGCACGCACGCACGCACGCACGCACGCACGCATGCACGCACGCACACGCACCACACACACACACACACACACACACACACGCACACACACACACACACACACACACACACACACACACACACACACACACCACACTCACACACACACACACACACACACACACACACACACACACACACACACACACACACACACATCGTCCTTCACCTCCCCGTCGACGCACTCGCCCACCGCGACCCACTCCCCAGCCTCCTCCGCCCCCTCCTGCTCGACCGCCACCGTGCCCATGTAGTCCTTCACGCCCCCCTCGACGCCCTCGAGGTCGCTGGGTCGGGCCCTGCTCAGGCGCCGCTGAGCCGCGGCGCCGGCGGAGGCCACCGCAGCTAGCCGCGGCCGCGCCAGCCACCGCGGCGGCGGCAGCCGAAGCGAGGGCGGCTCGGCGGCCGCGCGCGCGACGGCGGCAACGGGGCCCGCCGAGCAGCTGCTCGCCGCGGCGGCGGCGTCAGCGGCGGCCCAGGCGGCCGCGGCAGTGGAAGCAAGGCGAGGCCGAACGCGCGGCGCGCGGCCGCCGTGCCGCGGGCGCGGCCCGTAGCGCCAGGCCGGCAGCGCCGCGTCCGCGTGCGGGGCCCGCGGGGCACAGCGCTGCTCGCACGCAGCGGCGCAGCGAGGGCGGGCCATGTTAGAGCAGGCGCGCATGGCGGCGGCGTCAGCCCCAGGGGCGGCGGCGGCGCGCGAGCGGCGCAGCCGCATGGCGGCCGGCGGCGGGCCGACCGCGACACCGCCGCGCCGGCGCGCCGGACGCGGCGAGACGGGCGGCGCTGGCCAGCGGGCGGTTTTCCGCCGCGCGCCCCGGCGGGATGACCAGCAGGCGCCGCCGGGCCGCAGTCGGCCGCGGCGGGCGCTGGCAGCACGACACAACAAAAACAAGCAAAAAACAAAGCAGAAACAAACAGCCAAGCAGGCAAGCAACACCAGCAACGCAAACAAAAAACACAAGCCAGCCAAGCAAAAAAAAAACAGAAGCAAGCAAAAAAAGACAACCAAAAACACACAGCAAGCAGCAACGCTCACAAGCAGCAACATGACACTCAAGCGCCCGCGCGGCCGCCGCGCGTCGCCGCCGCCGCTGGCGAGGCGCCGGCGGCAGCAGCGGCAGCGCCAGGCAGCGGCGGCACGCCGCCAGCGTCGGGCGCCGCCAGGGGGTTGGCGGCGTCAGCGGGGCGCCGCAGCAGGCGCCCAGGCTGGGCGGCCCAACCCTCGGCGAAGCGGCCAGGCGCAGGCGCGGCAGGAAGGCGGCGGCCGGCAGGCCGCCGCCAGGAGGCGCGGACACGGCGCGGGAGCCGGGGGCAGGGAAAGAGGAGACCCTCCCCCTGTCCCCACCGGCAAACAGGAGGTCGGGGCCGACCTCCTACACCGCGGCGGCGGCCGCTGCGGCGAGCTCGAGCCGGGACGGCCTTGAGCCAGAGGGGGGTGCGGAACAGACCTCAGAGCACCCATCCCTTGGGAACGCCATTGCTTCATGCCCCACATCCCCCCTCTCCTCCTCACCGGCCGGTCTCTGCCCCGTCGCGTCAGTCAGATCAACCTGAAAATATGCCCCTCACCCAGGGCATCCTGGACGCATCTCGAGGCTCAGAAAAGCTTGGAAGCGTCGGACGACCCAGGACCGACGACCGACGGACGACGGCGACGACGACGATGACCGATGGTATCCTCCGCCTCCGAAGTCCCCAGAAGCTTCTGGGGGTCCCCGGAAGCCCCTTGAGGTGCCTAACCAACTACCCCTGACAATTACGCTACCGAGGAACCCCACATACTTGTATTATGGCTGGAGTGATGAGAGCTGAAGTGACGCATGTGAGAATGATGTTGGTGGCCGTTGCCCCGCCGATACCGCTGTGCCCTGGACGTGCAAGGTATTGGGCCACCAATTTTTCAGCTGGCGGCGGCACGCGTGAAATGCGGGGAGCACCGTCGCTTCAGAGCAGCAGCGTAAGCCTGCCAAGCTTACCTCGCCGCCATTATGAATCATGTCTTTCTTCAGCGACGAGCACGGAGGCGGCAGCTCGCCCATGGCAATTTTAGGCGGCATGGCTAGCGCGCCTGCGCAACAACCAACTGCGGCCTTCGATTAGGTACCCTGGCGCTCCGAGCTGGCTTGAGCCAGAGTACTTACAGATCTGGATACTGCGCAAACCCATGCAAGTGCAACTGATGGACTGCACCCGCGATACCTGCCCCCTACGCACCCCCCGTGGCGCGGAGAAAATGCCACGCCTGCCACGCCCCGCGACCCTGGGACGGATAGAATCCGCGGTGACGGACCACCCCTTGCGCACCCCCGGTGGAGTGGAGAACATGCCACGCCTGCTACGCCCCGCGGCCCTGGAACATCTAGAAAAACCAGTGAGAGACCACCCCATGCGCACCCCCTCTGGTGTCGAGAAAGTGCCACGCCTGCCACGCCCCGCGACCCTGAGACGGATAGAGAGACCAATGAGAAACGAACCTCTGCGCACCCTCTCTGGTGTCGAGAATGTGCTACGCCTGCCACGCCCCGCGACCCTGAGACAAATAGAGAGACCAGTGAGAGACCACCCCCTGCGCACCCTCTCTGGTGTCGAGAAAGTGCCACGCCTGCCACGCCCCGCGACCCTGAGACGGATAGAGAGACCAGTGAGACACCACCCTCTGCGCACCCTCTCTGGTGTCGAGAAAGTGCTACGCCTGCAACGCCCCGCGACCCTGAGACTGATAGAGAGACCAGTAGAGACCACCCCTGCGCACCCTCTCTGGTGTCCGAGAAAGTCCCACGCTGCCACGCCCCGCGACCCTGAGAACTGATAGAGAGACCAGTGAGAGACCACGCTCCCTGCGCAACCCTCTCTGGTGTCCGAGAAAGTGCCACTCCATGCCCTGGCCCGCGCCCTAGACGGAAGAGAGACCAGTGAGAGACCACCCCCTGCGCACCCCCTCTGGTGTCGAGAAAGTGCCACGCCTGCCACGCCCCGCGACCCTGAAACGGATAGAGAGACCAGTGAGAGACCACCCCCTGCGCACCCTCTCTGGTGTCGAGAAAGTGCCACGCCTGCCACGCCCCGCGAGCCTGAGACGGATAGAGAGACCAGTGAGAGACCACCCCCTGCGCACCCTCTCTGGTGTCGAGAAAGTGCCACGCCTGCCACGCCCCGCGACCCTGAGACGGATAGAGAGACCAGTGAGAGACCACCCCCTGCGCACCCTCTCTGGTGTCGAGAAAGTGCCACGCCTGCCACGCCCCGCGACCCTGAGACGGATAGAGAGACCAGTGAGAGACCACCCCCTGCGCACCCTCTCTGGTGTCGAGAAAGTGCCACGCCTGCCACGCCCCGCGACCCTGAGACGGATAGAGAGACCAGTGAGAGACCACCCCCAGCGCACCCTCTCTGGTGGCGAGAAAGTGCCACGCCTGCCACGCCCCGCGACCCTGAGACGGATAGAGAGACCAATGAGAGACCACCCCCTGCGCACCCTCTCTGGTGTCGAGGAAGTGCCACGCCTGCCACGCCCCGCGACCCTGAGACGGATAGAGAGACCAGTGAGAGACCACCCCCTGCGCACTCTCTCTGGCGTCGAGAAAGTGCCACGCCTGCCACGCCCCGCGACCCTGAGACGGATAGAGAACCGCGGTGAGAGACCACCCCCTGCACGTCTGTGTGCTGTTTGCCTGTTTGCTGCGTGTGCGTGCTGTGTCTGTTTGTGCTGGTATTGTGTACGGGTGCTGTTTGTGTGCTGTGAGTCTGCGTGCTGCGTGTATGGTGGATGTATGTGATGACTGTGATGTCGACTGTGGATGTGTGTCTGCTGTGTGCTCATCTGTCTGCTTGTGCTGATGAGGGGAACCAGAAAAAGAGAGAGGGAATCATCACACCAGCCCCTGGATGTGTGGAGGGAAGAGGGAAGGAGGGGTGAGGAGGAAGAGGAGAAACGCGGGTGCGACGCGGCAGGGAAAGAAAACCAGAACCCCACTATGCATGTGGGGAATAACACCGGAGGGGATAATAAACGATTTGCCACGCCAAGTCGGAAGGCGACGGCGACGGCGACGGCGACGGCGGCGACGGCGGCGGCGGAGGCAGCGACGAACAGGACGATCGCCGCCTCCGGGGGGGCCGCGGGCGACGCCGGCAGGGCGGCGAGCGTGGCCTGGGCAGGGCGGGCCCGACGAGCCAAGGCTGGGGCTCAATCCGAGGGGTGTCCTTCGACCCGACGCCTTCGAACCTTCGATCCTCGACGTCTTCAATCCTCGACGGCATCGATCCACGACGACGACGACGACGACGACGACGACGACGACGACGACGCCGACGACGCCGACGACGACGACGACGACGACGACGACGACGACGACGACGACGAGGACGAGGACGAGGACGAGGACGAGGACGAGGACGAGGACGAGGACGGCGGCAGAGGCGGCGGCGGCAGCAGCGAGCGTGGCCTGGGCGAGGCGGGCCCGACAAGCCACCGCTGGGGCTCACGCGGGGGGGATCCAGAAGCCACTGGAGGCCCAGAAAGGCTTCGAAGCGTCAGGACACCTCGATTGTTTCCAATGGCCCTCGCTGCACGATACCATTCCATGAACGAAGGGGCTGTGCACGGCAATTCTGGGGCTACCCGAAACCCTGCTCCTCGGCCCCCAAAAACCCCATGTTTTTCGCCAGTGTTTCACGAGTCCAGCACGAACCCATCAAGGCAGGGAGGGACAACCATTCCCGTCATCAAGCTGAGCCGGTCAACATTCACTCACTAATGCCTGAACCTCTGGTTTTGCGCCACCGCTTGCCGAAACGCATGTCGCATTGACTCTCCTCCTCCTCCTCCTTCCTCTCCTCCTCCTCCTCCTCCTCCTCTCCTCCTCCTCCTCCTCCTCCTCCTCCTCCCACTCCGCTCCTCTGCCCTCCTCCTCCTCCTCCTCCTCCTCCTCCTCCTCCTCTCCTCCCTCCTCCCTCCCTCCTCCCTCCTCCCTCCCGCCCCTCCCCTCCCTCCCCCCCCTAATACACCGACCTCCCTCCTCCTCCTCCACTAACACCTCCACACTACGTACCTCCTCACCTCCCTCCACCATCGACAAACGACGAGAGAGAGACCCCGCGGGGAGGGCGAATTCCTCGGAGCCGACCCGCAGGAGCACCGAGGCTAGGCTCCAGCGAAGCTTTCTGGCGCTGTTAGGCCTCTTCTAAGGCTTCCAAGGCAAGACGAAGCCAGGAGGAGGATACAATCGAGTGAGGATAAGTCTCTGAGATCTGGCGGCTCTGGAGGATGTCTCGGGCGCCACGGCCTTCTCAAAGCGTTCCAGAGAAAGCTCTGAGAGCGTTCCAGACTTCTCTAGAACGGATTTGTCCTCGTCCCAGCCTCGTCCGACTAGAACTTCTCGTCGCCACGGCCACACTCCCCTCGAGACCCGGCGGTGCGGCCCCGATGAGCCACGGCTGGCGTCGTGGGCGGCGAGCATCAGTAAGCAACCCCTGCAAGGCCTTGGTGAGAACGACCAGGGCTGCTAGAGGCTACTGAGCCCGAGTAGGCGGCCATGAAGCCAGACTAGACTGGCTTAGGCCCGGGATGATGTCGGACTCATCGGGACTATGCCAGATTAGGCCCGTTCCCGAGCAGGAATATACCAGCGCGGGTGCTGAACTAAGCGTATGAGTCGGCGTACGAGGAGTTGCATCATAGCAGCTAGATCGACATCCACACAGACCTGCAACGGGTTGAACAACAGGACGGAGGTATTTCGCCAGTTTCGGCACCCAGGCGCCAGCCTGGGGCCCCAGCCATGGGGGAAAAGGCGAGGAGGAGAAGGAGGAGGAGGAGGAGGAAGAGCAGAAGAACCCGTTCACCCGGCCCACTGACACCCATGAAATGACATACTTGAGCCGAGGTGCCCCGCTGGAAATCGCGAACCATGCGTTCAAGCGACCCCTGCGGGCACAACGAGGACGACGGCGGCGGCGGCGCGGCGACGACGACGGAATCAGAACGTGCAAAGAAAAGCAGGAAGAGAAGAAGTTGAAGTAAAAAAGAGAAGAGGACACAGCAAGGGAGGCAACGATAAATCAAGAAAGCTCTGAGCGCAGGAGAATCAGGTCTGCTGACGTCCACAAGCAAGGCACCGAAGCAAACAAGAAAACGAACTCCGACAAAAAACGAAACCCCAAGAAGAACCTCCGAGAGCCTGCAGGAGCCTCTGGCCACCTCCGAAAACCCGCGCGCGGCGCGACGCCCTGCTGCGAGCCCCGGCGACGCACCCGAGACGCGGACCGCCTCGGAAAGACCGCGAGATGCTCGGAAGGCCACGGGCGGCGACGAAACCCACCGACTGCGTCCTCGCCCTCGCGACTGCTCTGCCGTCCTCGCCGTCATCCACGTCGTGCTCCTCCCCCCTCTTCCCCCCGCCTCTTCTCGTCGTCCGGCGGGGCCGGCAGACCCCCTCCTCCTGTCGTCCTCCCCCTCTTTCCGACTGCCCTCTTCCTGGAGATCCTGCTCCTCGTCCTCCTCCTCCTGCTGGTGTCTTGAAGAGGCGGCGCAACAGACGGAGCAAAGGCAAAAGCAAAAGACGAGCTACGAAATGGCGTTGTTTTTCAAGAGGCCACCACAGGCAGAACCAGGGCGCCGGACCCCACGCGTCCCCAAACTGAACCGCTCACCAAGTCACCCAACCAAAAGACGCGCTACAGAATAGCGCTGTTTTTCGTGAGCCCACGCGCAACAGTCTGAAGCGCCTCAGCTCACCCAGAGCCTTACTGAAACCCGCCCTGAACTCAACTTGGCCCTTCACTCGCCCGGTCCTGAACTCACCCGGCCCTCACCCAGTCCTGAATTTACCGCGTCCTTTACTCACACCGTCCGTAACTCAGCCGACGACTTCACCCACACCAACCGTAACTCATCCCGTCCTGAACTCATCCTAGCCTTCACTCACCCGCCCCATCACTCCACCCGCCCCCTCAACTCACCCGATCCTGAACTCACCCGGTCCGTAACTCACCTGGCACCTGGATTCACCCCGTAACGAACTCACCCGGTCGTTGCCTTGAACAGGCGCCGCGAATGAAGACCACGTGCAAAGGCAAGCACAAATGATACCGGAGAGAAACCCCAATCAGAATCTTTTTTGGGGCTGTGGGGCTGTAGGGCTATAGGGTTATAGGGCCATAGGGCTAAAGGGCTAGAGGTCTAGAGGGCTAGAGGGCTAGAGGCCTAGGGCAAGAGGGCTATAGGGCTATAAGGCTTTAGAGCTATAAGGCTATAGGGCTATAGGGTTATTGGGCTATTGGGCAAAGGGCTACAGGGCTATAGTGCTACAGGGCTACAGGGCTATAGGGCTATAGTGCTATAGGGCTGTAGGGATATTGGGCTGTTGGGCAATAGGGCTGAAGGGCTATAGGGTTATAGGGCTGTAGGGCTGTTTGGCTATCGGGCTCTAGGCTATAGGGCTACAGGGCTATGGGGCGCCCGGGCACCCGGGCAAGCCGCCGAAATCGGCGACGCAGCTCCCTGGCACCCGGGCACCCGGGCGCCCGGGCACCTGGGCGGGCCACCAAAATCGGCGGCGCAGCTAACCTAACCATATGAAGCCGCTAGGACCCCTACAAAGGCAAGCTCTGACTGGGGAAAGACACGCTCCAACAAGGGTTGCTTTTCGTCAGACACCCCAAACAGCACCAGGGCACCTAACCCCACACGGCCCCCGACTGAGCCGATCTCTCAGGCACCCGGCCAAGAAACGCGCTGCTAAATGGCGCTGCTTCTCGCGAGGCGCAACAGACTGAGGCGCGTCAACTCACCTGCCACCGAACTCACCCCATCCTCAACTCAACTGAAACATGAACTCACCAGGTCGTTTCCTCACCCAAGCCCAACTCACCCAATCCCTTGCCTCGCCCGATCCAGAACTCACGCCGTCGTCCTGAGCTCACCGACTCCTTCTTACCCAGTCCGGAAGTCAGGCGATAAGTGAACTCACTCGACTCTGAACTTACCGCACCCTTTACTCACCCAGTCTCTTCTTCCCCTGGCGCCTTAATTCACCCAGAACCTAATTCACCCGGTGCTACTTCACCCGACGCCAGAATTCACCCGTAACCTTAAATCACCTGGAAACAATGTCACCCTGTGATAGATCACCCGGTGACGAATTCACCCAATGCTAATTCACCCAGTGCCAAGTCACCCCGCCCCTCAATTCACTCCGTGCTGATTCACCCAAAGCTAATTCACCCGGTGTTGGATCACCCGGTAGTAATTCACCTGGTGTTAATTCACCCGGTGCTACTGCACCCGGTGCTGATTCAACCAGAGCAGAAACGAACCCTATCCTGACCTTCCCACGCCCTGATCTCACCTCACTCACTCGATCCTGCACTACCCCCGCGCCTGAACTCACGAAGCGCCCAAATCATCCCAACTACTTCACCCGGTGCTAAATCACCTGGCAACTAATTCATCCGATGCTAATGTACCCGGTATCTAATAGACCCCGTCACTGATTCACCAAATGCTACGTCACCCGTTGACGAACTCACCGGGAAACTAATCCACACGGTAAGTAATTCACCCGGTGCTGAT